TTTTTTTTTTTCACATAATGGCCCCTGTGAGACAGTTGGAGACCCGCTGCCGTGCAGCATTGCTGAGGGCAGGTTGTGGGTCCCACTTGGCCGTTACCAGTGGTGCCCACACAGTGGGGGGTCGCCTACAGGCACGCAGACATGGGGGTTGCTTCACTTTTCACAACTCTCCCCAATAAACAGAAGAATACAGTGCTCCACAGCCCATAGGAATCAGCCATGTGGAAAGATGTACATGGAACATTCCAGTGTCTGGGTTATAGTCTTTCTTGGTAAAATAAACCTTCAGGTTAAAGCTAGAGAGGACGCCGTGGACTCTGACGGCTCCTGGGAGCCTGACAGCCTGCCGCCCTGTTTTGCAGGTGATCTTCAGCAAGTATTGCAACTCCAGCGACATCATGGACCTGTTCTGCATTGCCACAGGCCTGCCTCGGTGAGTGCCACACTCCACAGGGGCTGGCGGGGCCTCCACACCCTTCATTTCACCTGCAGGGGGCAGTGTCTGGGAAGGGCAGGGACGGGGGAGGGGGACCTCTGGGCTCACCTCCATAAGGTGCTTTCAAATCGATGGACAAAATCCCCGGGGCAAGCCTCCACCCACTGCCTGCAACAGGTGTCAACCATGTCCACACACGAAACCAGGGGGCTGAACTGAGCAGAACCGTCCTCCCCGGAGTCTGGGTGTCTTCCTTCCATTTTTCATTCACTTGTGGAGAAAGGAGGATGTTTCCATGTGAGGGTTGTCCCAGGCTTACTTCAGGAGTGAGCTGAAACTAGCAATCCACCTTACGGAATCAGCAGAATTTCCTAAGGGTTAGTTTTCAAAAGCAACAGTTAGTTCAGACAAGTGAATTTTCTAATTGCTAGCATTCTAACTTTCTGAGCAGAGAGGGGGCCGGGGAGTAGCTTAGGCCTGGCAGTTAACTTTAAAGTTAGAACAGAGCCAAAGAGAGCAATAGAATTATTCATGGGAGGGAACCGGGAGAGGAAACGATGTGCCTGAAATGGCAGAGTTTGTAGCAGCAAAACAGCCCCCGGCTTGGGACATCTTCGGTGCGCATATTATTCAAGCACCATGCTAAGAAATGCACAGAAGGTGCCAAAAAATGTAAAGTGTAAAAAAATGTTTTAAAAAAGGAAAAAATTGTGTTAGAATTGTAATACTCACTATATACTGATAACGCATCTTATCTTGTATATGTTTCTGTATCTCTCGTAATTGCAGAAGTCAAATGTGACTCGAGTATTACAATTTTAATAGTATTTTCCTCTCTTAAAATGCATATATATTTTTTGACACCCTCAGTATATGTTATTTTTTATAACAACCCCAGGATTCGGGTATCACCTCCAGTGCGCAGATCTGAAGACCAGAGAGGTTGAGTAACTGGGTTGAGGACACACAGCTCAGAAGAGGCCCCAAAAGACGAGCGGTGGGAGGAAGACTCATCGTAACCACTTAAAATCATTCCTAGGAGAGATGTGCGCAGTTCAGATGGACTCCCAAAGGAATTGGAAGTAAAAAGGCAAACTACAGATTCTTCATCTCCTGATATAAACGTTAGTTTCTATTTTACCACAGTTTTTTTTTTAATCTCCCGACTCAGTAAATTAGACTTGCTCCAATTCCTGTTTTAAATTATTTAAAACCCTGCAAGCACTTAAAGTTACATGTGACTGCTACTTTTATGTATAAATGGAATGCCAGTGGCTGGATGCCGACCTCCACCTTCCGTCCTCTCTGCCTGTGGGCAGCAGGGCCCGGGACTGTGATCATCAGGTGTACCTCCCAGAGCAGGTTTGGGCTAAAACACACCCTGGCTATGTTTTTCAGGAATACAACCATCTCGCTGCTAACCACGGACGACGCCATGGTCTCCATCGACCCCACCATGCCTGCAAATTCTGAGCGGTAAGCAGCTGCAGCCGGTGCCGTCAGCTTCTTCTTGGGGTGTGCCTGACGCTTCCCTACGTGACGTGACAGGGTTTCTAGGATTTTCTTCTTTAATTTGCTCCTGCAAGAGAGTCTGTATTCATAGCAGAGAGGGAGGGGTGCGGGGGGAGGGAACATAAAGGAGGCTTGATCAGGCTTATTTCTTTGCAGAAGAGCCAGTCTCTTTCCAAGATAAGGGTAATTGTAGGCACAGCTCTTCCTTCATACCAGGGGCCCTCTGGGAAGCCCCGTACAGAGGGGGAAACTGGAGCACTGAGGGGCAAGAAAAGCAGCACGGCCGGGCCCCAAGCCCTGCCTCAATCTCAGGGAGGGTCGCGGAGACGCCCCGACAGAGCCCCTGTGGACAGTTAGCCCTTACCACTTAGAGCCAGTCCTGTGTTCCTGAGGTGATGTGTGTGTGAGGATTCTGTGCACAGAGGTGGAAGGGGCTCCAGGCCCGGGGGGAGAAGGGGCAGGCCTAGAATGCCAGGTGCTGGCAGTAAACACACTTGGGAGCGTATGGGATGTAGGTAACGCCCGGCACGTGTGGCCTGAGGAAGGACGCTGCCCTGTGGCAAGTGGTCTTGAGAGTCCCCAGCTGTCTCCACTTCTGTTTGCAGCTGGGTGAGGCAGTGAGCAGGTGGACCACCAGGTGTGGGGTGCCCCTGGGGATCCTCTCTGTGGCCCTCTGCTGATTAGCCCCCCCTCGGCACATTGGAGCCAGGTGGCCTTTGTTAATGTGGTCATCAGGGTGATGACCTGCCCAACTGACCAAAAGAAGGGGCATGTGCTGGGCAAACCCTCACGTGTCCCAGGCCTGCTTAATGATGGCATTGGAATGTTTGAGCTTCACTGAAGGTGTGGCCTGGGACCTCCACTCATACCCCAAGGGGTTCTGCCACCCACCGTGTATGCACATCTGAGCTCCCAGGTGGGGCACCTTCCCTCCCCTCCTTCCTCCTGCCCCCAGAAGTCTACTGTCCTGACCCATGAGGTCAGTGGATTGTGGCTGGCACCGTCCTGGTCAGTTGTCTTTCCCATCACCCGAAGGGGCAAGCCTCCACCCACTGCCTGCAACAGGTGTC